GGAGTCAGCAGGTAATCTATATTAATATTATAAAAAGAAGAGATTTGTATTTTTTTATGGAAATAACTCAAAAACTACTGAACCGATTTTTTAAAGTTCTTTCACAATTTAAAAGCTACGTTATCACTAAGTAACATAGGCTATATTTTTTTACTATTTAACTATACCTAGACGAAGTCACGAGCAACAGCCAGTTTGTCATATCTTTTTTTTAAACTAGTTTTTCTTTATAAATTATTTCTGATATATATAAGTACTAACATAACCTATAGTTAAAGAAACCTAATTGTTTTAGCAAATATTCTGTTTTACAATACATATTATATTTATAACTAGTTGTCACCCGCGATTCTGTCTGCGAGGAATAAAATTGGTCGATTAAATTTGGTACAAATATTCTACATTTGTACCAAAAATAATCGAGATCCATTGAGCCATTTCAGAGAAACCTAACAAACATACATCTAAACCTTAGTAATCATGATATTAGTAAGAGTTATTAATATAAATATAATTTTCATTTCTACATCGTGATAAATGTTTTATTAGTAATACAACATTAAAATAAAGCCTACACCAAGACGGACCACACTAAAAATATTTCAACACTAAGGCAGTCCTATCATGTAATTAACAGAAATGACATTAAAATGACATTGCAGGTGGTCAAGTGGTATCAACGAAGTGCACAGAGTTATACCAGATCAAGACGAAGCAGTACTCTGTGCTGGGCCTGCCGGTGTGGTGGGTGTACACGTCTCCTCGTCACGCCCTCACTCCAGGTGCCATGCCGGCCGAGTGCTGGGCCTTCCAGGGCTTCCCAGGATACCTAGGTATACCGCTTCACTTATATAAAGCGCCAATAGCCTAATAGTTTGGGGTACGGACTACCGATCTTGCGGTTGACGGTTTGAATCCCATTTGACTATTGTAAACTATATCCTAGTAAAAGCCTAAAGCTTAGTTGGAATGGTTAAAGGAAATAATAGTAAATTAACAAAAATCTACTATTTTTTTTTTTAAATTAACGGCGAATTGAAACTAGTGTTAAACGTTTCGTAAACGCAGCTTAGAAACTGATTGATGTAAGATAAATTAAGTTTTGAGTTTAACAGCGTGTGTCCCTTTGACTAAACTATTGCACAACTGATTCATCTCGCTTCGATTGCTTGTGCAACTAAACAGTTGTCTTGGCTGCTGAACAAGCGACAGTCGTACAACAGTTGTGCGATTATTTATTTAAAAATGTGCCGGCTCTAAGCGTGGACTTAATACGCTGTTACATATGTAAATATTATTTTGGACGAAGTCGCAAGCAACAGCTAGTCCTAAATATTTAAGAATGGTCCTGTGATAGTAAATAACCTTACTTGGTATAATCCATTCTGTTTTATTGGCATGTTTTCGTTGTTTTTGTTAAATAAATGTGTGGTAATTCTTTTTATTTCAATATTAGCTTTTGCCCGCGACTCCGTCCGCGTGGGATTAAAAAAACAAAACTAAGTTGACTATGAGTTTTTCCAGACTATCCTCTACGTCTATGCCAAATTTCATGGAAATCCGTTCAGCTGTTTAAGCTATAAACTCTAACAAACATCCATCCATCCATCGATCCATCTAAACTTTCGCATTTATAATATTAGTAAATAAATGTTTTATTCCAGTGATCCGTACATACGCGGTGATAGAAGTGACGGGCTTCTCTTTAGAGCACATGTCGAGATTGCTCGCTGTCGACGGCAAGATTGAATCCGCGCCTAAAAACTTCTCCGTATACGTGAGTAATATAATTTATAATATATAAAATACTAACTTTTACACGCGACGTCCGCGTAGAACTAAAAAAATGTAGCTAGTATATGTGTTTTAGACTATTTTCTACATTTATATTAAATTTCATCGAGGTCTGTGCAGTTTCGACTACAAACTCTAAGAAACATCCATCTATCCATACTTTCGCATTTATAATATTACTAGCTGTTCCCGTGCGGCTTCATCCGTATGAAAAATTTTATTTTATTGTTTACTATATCAAAATATCAATTGAAAATGTCAAAATGACGTGACATGATGACGACCATGGTAGCCTTGCTTCCTTGATGTTGGTAGCT